AGGAGGAAATCTCAATTGATAATATCAATCAATATCTTGCCAAAGAGAAACTTCCACAGATAAAGGAGGAGGAAAGGGAAATGTTAAACAGAGAAATTACAACAGATGAATTGAAGGGGATAATATCCAAATTAAAGAGCAATAAAACTCCTGGCCCTGATGGCCTCCCAGGAGAATTGTACAAAAATCAGGAATTGGAAGAAATACTTGTACGAAACTTCTGGCAATATATAATGAGGCTCTGAGAGGCTCCAGGATCCCAGAATCGTGGAAGGAGGCATTCATCACATTGGTAGGAAAAGAAGGTACCGACCCCAAGCAAATAAAGAACTATAGGCCGATCTCCTTACTTAACACAGACTATAAAATATTTATGGGAATTCTAGCAAGTAGGATGAAGATAATACTAAATAATTAGATTCACCCAGACCAAAACGGGTTTCTCCCCGGCAGACAGATTAGAACCAATATGAGAGTGGTGTTGGATGTGCTGGAGTATTACGAAACACACTCTGAGAAACAGCTGGCCTTGGTCTTCCTCGACGCTCAGAAGGCGTTTGACAATTTAAATTGGGGATTTATGATCCAGCAAATCAAAAAAATGAATTTTGGGGAACACTTCGAGAATGCAATAAAAACAATTTATGACAAGCAGAGTGCAAATATTATACTGAATGGAGATATGACCAAAAGTTTTCGGATTGGTAAAGGAATAAGACAAGGCTGTCCACTCTCTCCACTCTTATTCATATTAGCCCTGGAGGTATTGTTGAGGAAAATTAGGCAAAATAACAAGATATATGGATTGGAAATTAGGAATGAAACCTTTAAAATTCAAGCTTTTGCCGATGATGTAGCGTTGATTATGGAGGACCCGTCAACAACTGGGCCAAAGGTATTGAAAGAGTTAGATGAGTACGGGAAGCTATCTGCATTTAAATTAAATATGACAAAAACTAAAATGTTAACAAAAAATATCCCGATAGAGAACAGGAAACATTAGCAGAAAGTTTGGGCATCCAAATAATTAAAAAGATAAAATATTTAGGGATTTGGATTACCGCTAGATGCTCAACCCTGAAGGAGGACAATTATACGCCATTACTGACAAGGATTAAGGAAGATTTGGAACGTTGGGGGAAATTACAAATATCGCTTCTAGGAAGGATAGCCACCATTAAGATGAGTATTCTCCCCAAATTAATATACTTGTTTCAAACCACACCAGTCAACATTGACAAAAAATACTTTTCGGATCTAAATAAGATAGTAAGGAAATTTATTTGGGGAGGGAAAAACCGAGAATTGCATTACGATCACTGCAGGAAAAAAGGAATAAAGGCGGATTTGGGCTCCCAGTTTGGGAGATATACCACAAAGCTACCAATTTAGTATGGCTACGAGAATGGGCCTTACTAAGAAACCAAAGAATTTTACAACTGGAAGGCCATGACCTGCTAAGAGGTTGGCATGCCTATCTTTGGGATAACGGAAAGGGGGCAGGGATATGTTTCCACCGACACAAAATTAGAGATACATTAATGAAGACATGGAAAGAAATTAGGCATAAACATTATTTAAAATTCCCAAAATGGATCTCCACAATGGAGGCAATGATTTATCCAAACACAATAAGTAGAGAGAAAATGTTCACCTCCCAGGACATTCTAGATAACAGCGGCAACCTTAAACCTAATGAGATTTTAAAAGAGCAAGGGATCCATATTGATTGGTGGCCCTATTTACAAATTAAATCCCGACATAGGAAAGACAAACAGAAAGAGGGAATAGAGATGGGGACAAATAGTTTTGATAAGGTATGGTTGGGTAGTGAGAATAAATTATTAGCTAAATTTTACTCCTACCTGCTTGAATATGATAGAGAAGGAGAAATACTTAAAGACCAAATGGGGGAAAAATATCGACTCAAAGTTAAACTTAGATGACTGGGAAGAAATATGGAACAGCAATCTCAAATTGACGAGAGCAATAAGCTATAAGGAGAATCAGTACAAGATGCTGTATAGATGGCATCTAGCACCATCTAAAATTGCAAAGATATATCCGAACGCAAGCCCCAAGTGTTGGAAATGTGGCCACTACCAAGGTACCTTCTACCATATGTGGTGGACGTGTCCGGAAGCAAGGAAATTTTGGAAAAAATTACAACAATGGATCCAAGAAATATTAAATGAGGGTATCAATTTTTTGCCTGAAATTTATCTCCTGGGAGTGCTAAAATGAACATTTGTTAAGGAAAAGAAATACTTGTTTATTCATATTGTTACAGCTGCTAGACTCTCCTATGCCAGATATTGGAAAGAGAAAACATGTCCAACCGATGAACAGATAGTCAATAAAGTATTGGACTGCGCAGAAATGTGCAGATTAACGTATGTGTTAAACGGAAAGGAGGATTCAGAATTTTACATGATTTAGGATCTATGGTATAGGTGGTTGCAAAATAAATGCAAAAGTTAACACTTATGAGGGACAATGTATAACTACTAATTAATTCTATATACTATTGTATCTTAATTTAACTGTAACTAATGTTATAAGAATTTTCGTATAAATTGTATAATATTTAGATAATTGATTAGATACCGCTTCTGTAAATATACAATATGACTACACGTTGCCGAACCGTAAAAGTTTGAATTGTAATATATTCTTTATTCAATAAAACTTCATTAAAAAAAAAAAGAGAGAGAGAGAAGCAAACCTTTGGGACATGTTTAAGCAAAGATATTACATAGGGGAAACAAATGATGCCCATAACAATTTAAAACATTATTCTGGACCAATCGAGGCTTCCAAGAAGTCTTCAAAGTCAGCCCCATGGAGTGTGTACTCCAATAGTCCAAACAAATAATGAAACAATTCATTTCTTAAAGTATGAAATAGCTGGCTTGCTGCTTCCTTTGAAAAGTGTTTATACTTCTCAGAATTAAAACTAAGTCTAGTTAAAAAAAAAAGATAGGGCAGACCCAGTGTTGATTTCCATGTCGCATAGTCTCCCTTCAATTTCTACTCTCGTGTAGACCTTTTCCTCTACAGACGTGCTGGCGTGGCCGATTCTTGTGCTGTAGGTTTCTCGCTTTTGATTCTTGCGCCGTTTTCTCACGCCGCCATCTCTGGTTGGCTGATTTGAACATGTTGGTTCTGGTTGGTCGTGATAGTCACGTGACTTGTTATTTCGAGGAAATTGAGCTCTACAGACTCTAGCCAAATGGCCCTTCTTTTCACAGTGCCTGCAAATGGCGTCTCGGTATTTGCAGGACTGTCTCTCATGATTTCCACCGCAACTTGAGCAGTTCTCATGGCGACGACTTTGCTCGCCCTTCTTTTTGTCCGTGTGGAAGACGTCCTCGTCTGACTCTTCCTCTGTGCTGGTCCGCGCCTCCTCTCGTTGAACAGGGGCTGACTTCGGGCCTTCTTTGCTCGGCTGTGGACATTGTAGCGCTTCGGAAGCCTTAGTGGATGCTTCGCGTGCTCTAGCTTCGTCGAGCACGCTGGCTAATGTCAAATCTGGCTTCGCGAGTAAGCGCCTCTGTAATCGAGTATCTCTCACGCCACAAATCAACTGTTCGAGGAGTGCGTCGTCTAGATCCCGGTAGTCGCAATGCATTGCAGCTTTTCGAAGGGCAGCCACATATGCACTGACCGGTTCTCCTTCTCTTTGTACTCGTTGCCGGAGCTCGTAGCGTTGTACAAACTTCGAAGGAATGGGAGCGTAGTGGGCTCTCAGGTGTGCTTGTAGGACGTCACAGGGGCCATCTGAACTGGAGTTGACTCGCAGAGGGACTCAGCCATCTCGAAAACATCTGGCCCGGAGTGGCTCAAGAAGAGGGCTCTTTTTCGGTTCGCAGAGAGCCCTTGCATCTCACTTGCTTCCAGGAAACACTCAAACCTGGTCAGATACGACCCCCACTTCTCTCGGGTCGGATCAAAGGGTTTTGGCGGAACGTAGGCAGACATCACAGTATGTCTCCGTAGTCCCCTCGTCACCCTGGCTGAAAGTCAGAGCTCTTTTTGATTTGCTTCTTGTGGCCTCAATCCCACCTTCGTCGCCAATGTTGTAGCGCGGGAATAACGAGAGGCACAAGCAAGCTAGTGACAACAGCTCTTTAATTCAGGGTGAGACTTCAGCAAAGAAACACAGGCAACAGCCTTCCTTATATACAGTTCTGAAATACCCGTTAACCAATCACAAGTATTCCAGCATTTGAATTTACCGCACAAAATAGATACATACATAACACCAACTTTTAATATTATATATAGTATCTTGAGAAGATGTCCATGATATATATGTATAAATATAAATATCCTTTAGGAATGAGAAATGAAATTCTTTTTACCAAACTGTTGAAGCAGATGCTACCTAAAAAAGACTAGAATCCCCACAGAATAGAATAAACTGAGAAAAATCATAATTCATTAGGTACATTATTGTTAATCTAAGACAATTGTGATAATTTAAGATATTAAGACAATTTGTGAAATTTAAATCATGAGTATTTAATTAGTTTGGTTGAACTTTTAAACACTGTTCTTTACCTGATAGTAGCCAAGAACTGAACAGACCTTACACAGAATCTGTAATTTATATAGTTATATGTTTTTTGTATATTCTTATAAAAGTCTTTTCTATTTTTTGAATAAGTTGGAATTTTAAAAATTGAGTAGGGAAACATTTTCAAAAGGAAACCCAGAGAGATGTTCCAACTCCATGATATTTAAGTTCAATATTCATTCATTAGAAATCTGATGCAATTTGCAGCGGAGGTCAGTGTGAGATTAATGTGAAATTAAAATTATGCTAGTAGATTTCTTCATATGTTTTCCCAGGATGTTTTTTTTAAAAATTTGATTTATATGCCTTCTCTGGAGACTCAGGGCGGCTTATAGTGCATTAAGCAATAGCCTTCATACTTTTGTATATTTATACAAAGTCAGCTTATTGCCCCCACAAACTGGGTCCTCAATTTACCTACCTTAGAAAGGATGGAAGGCTGAGTCAATCTTGAGCCTGGTTAGATTGGAACTTAGAGTAATTGCAGACAGCTGGTGTTAATCACAATGTTATCAGTCTGCTGAGCCATCAGGCCCTGGCGTTAATTGCTTTCTATACTAATAAGATTTAAAAAGATAAGATATAATTGCTCTCATTAAAAAATAAAATTATAAATAAAGAGCTAAAGCAGAAATAGAGAACAGTCTAATAGTTTATAACTTGCTTATGAGGAAGCATTTAAATTTTTAAAGGGATAATTGAATTACAATAGACAAAATTGCCAATGTAACAAAAAAGCCTCCTTTTTTTGAAGATGTATTGTAATGCCAAATCTAATCAGAAATTCAGGTATAAGCCTACATCAACATCTTCATAATAAATGTACAAATAATTCCACTGTAGTTAGTATAGTTAGTTTTTTTAACCACATTTTTTGTTCCATTATTTTTCGTTTATTCATTTTATTTCAAAATTATGGCATTGTAGAATTGAGGTTTGACATTTCCAGAAAAAAGTTAGGTTGCATGTTATATAGTCTTTAAGAAAGAGACAGATACAGTAGCTGTTTCAGATACTTTAATGTCAGTTAAGTAATTAATCAGAATTTCAAACTTGCAGTTCAATTATATTTTCTACCAGGTTAAATGGATATATGATTGCAATACTGATATTATTTTAAATATTCTGATTCATTTTTGTATCTTCCTTGCAACCATGAGACGCACGTACAATTCAGGTGTTCTGTCTATTAGTAAAGGTGCATTTATTCTTTTAGCATTCCTTTCACTGAGGATTAAGAATTTTATACCATGCTTTTGTTATCATTGAATTGTTTTTATTTTGTAACTGACCTCCCTATGGTAATTAAAGTGATATGATTTATAATTAACAAATAAAAAAATAACGCTTTCCTACGAAAAAATGAAAATAGATTCATATTATTGGTATACATTTAAATCTAACTGTTTTTAAATCTGGGTCCAACTGTACAAATAAAAGACTAGTATAAACCATAAATGTGATATTGAAATCCACTTTTTAAAATCAGCAATAATATTTTAATAGTAATACATTTGTTTGTAAAGAAATAAAGCTGAGTTGTTAGGTAAAAATACTCAGTTTCACAAATTATTGTAACTAAGATTCTCAGTCTTTAAGAAGGAACTAATATTTTCTTAATGCGTGTTTGCATATTATACATACATGTACACTTTTTAAGGAACATCACATTATTTTTATATAGTGTATATTTTTGTATAGTGGATAAATTACTGCAATCAATTTAATCTTTTAAAATCTACTTCAGTCATAGTTCATATGTAATAATAGACACTCCTAACAAATTTTGTGCAGAAAATGATTTCTTCTATGCTATGAATGATTTCTTCACATCTCTTTATTTGCTGATGAACAAACATCACTTGATAATGTGAAATAAGATAACAAGACTTTGAATTTTGCTCACCAGAGTTGGTCTGTTGTGTTAATGAAAGTCCTTCCCAAGCAAATAGATGTTTTAGAGTGAATGTGATTTATAGACTTTTGTTCGGCTGACCTGCCCAGCCTCTTTATCTGGATTTACACAATATATTCAATTGCAAATGAGATAGTAATGACCAAACTTGCCCCTCCTTCTTTCCCTGAACATCCCAATCTTGCAAGTTTATATTTTGGCCTATTGAATAGTTGGATTTCTTGTTCCATTTTTTGTGTGTATCAAGTATCATTATATTGGAACTGGAAAAAAAGTAGTGCTTTGTATGCCTGTGACTTTTCCTCACAAATGGTTTTGGTCTGGCTCAAGTTCAGTGAAATAAGAAACCAGCAACGAAAGTTTAACTGTAGGTGCTATTGTTTCTACTGAATCACTGAGTTCAATGGTACTCTGAGATCAGGGATGAAACTAATAGGAAGATACAAGAGTTACTTTGTGCAAAAGAATGTAATTAAAAAATCAGGTGAGGGAATTGTAAAATGTAGTTCTCAGGAAGAATAGCTTATAAGCTTTTAAAAATCAGATAATTAAAATAATGAAGGGTGAGAAAGATATCAGTTGCTTGAGTACATATTTTTTCATAAAATCCCATTATTTTGTTGTTTCAGAGCACAATTAACTTTAATTAAACATATACCTTACATCAGTTGTTTGAGAATTGGAAATTTTATCCTTGACTGTGATCCAAAGGCATTGAAAATTCTATACTGTAAGTCAACTTGTTTCTTCATGGTTTATTGAGAATTCTTGAAATTGTAATCCCATAATATCTGGTAGACTGTAGTTGCAATAGTATTTTCTGACCTGTTTCCTCCAATTTTTTGTGATTTTCAAAATATGCCCAAGAAAAGGATGCTTTAAGGAATGACTGCAGCATTGAGTTGGTAGTTTGCTTCTAAAGCCCTTCATTGCACAGCACCAGTTTATTTTAGGCACAGTTTCACTCCAAAGAGTTTGGCTGCCTCACTTGAGGCAGTGTCACTTAATTGGCAGAAGAAACCTTTTTTGGAGCCTCTCAGCCAAAGAATTTCAGCTATTTGGTAAAGGAGAAGTGCCTTTTCTGTCTTGGCCCCCATGCTTTGAAACATCTTGCCCCCTGACTGAGATTTGCTTCCACCCTTATGGTCTTTCAGAAAAGCCTTAATATCTTATTCTGCTGGCTGGCTTGGGGCTCTTATGCAGGTATGCTATGATGGACAAAAGTAATACTGTATCATCTCTATTTTTGGTTTTAATCTTTTATTCAATTTGTTATTAATTCTAAACGTAATCTTTATTTTAAGAACCGTGGTGGCGCAGTGATTAGAATGCAGTACTATAGGCTAACTCACTGTTACTCCAGGAGTTTGATTCTGAACAGCTCTGCTATGTGTTATGTACTTTTTAAATTGGAATTTATAAGTAAAGCAAGCTTTAATGCAGTTAATTATGATTGTATGATTTGTAATATACTTATATCTAGTTCTTCTCATCTTTCTTAATGAGTATATTTGTTAAGTTGGGTGAATGAGGACACAGCAAGCCAGGCAGTGAGTGACAACAGCTCTTTAATGTAGAGTGAGAATCCAGCAACTAACCTGGGGAAACAGCTCTCCTGCCACAGCAGCTGTGGCAGTCAGCCAATCAGCTGAGGGCTATTAAATTCAAACTTTCCCGCCAAAACTATATACATAACACTCCTTCCCTCCCAGAAGTCACTTGGGATGGACATTAGCATACATAGTCCTGCAGGTGACCAGGGCGTGTCCGCACCTTAGTTGACCTGTGCAGTTCAGTCGGAGGTGTGGTGTCGAGTGGTCGGAGGAACTCTCTGTTTCTCCCTGCTCCACCAATGGAACCTCCGGGAATTCGTTGTGGGCGGCAACTTCTTCGGCTGGTCGATCTTCTGTGATGGGCCGTCGCTGGATCTCGGGGCTGACAGCTAAGTCCTCCGCTTGAATCGGGCTTGAGTTAGCCCTTAAGTTCTGTTGGTAGTTAGGGAGCGGTTCGTCAAAGATGTCTTCTGTGTCAGCAGCTAATCGATTCCGTAGCTGATCGATGTGCTGACGCCAAATCCTCCCATCTCCCATGTCTACCCTATAAGACTTGGGCCCGGTTACCTCCGTAATTGTCCCAGTTTCCCAGAGGGGCCCATTCCCCCTAATTTCTTGCGTATACTGGATTCCCTATAGTGAACTCTCTAAACTTCCTGTCTGTCCCTCTGAAGTTGTCAGGGGAATAGCTGGGATGTAGCCCTGTCCAGGACTCCTCGGAGCTTTCTCCCATTAGGAGTTCCGCCGGGCTTCGGCCTGTGGAGGTACATGGTGTGGCATGTTGGGCCGTTAAGAATCTGTCTATTCTTTCCTGCCAGTCCCCGGGGCCTAGGCGTGAAATGGCTTCCTTAGCCATTCTCACAAATCTCTCCGCCAATCCATTGCTAGCCGGATGAAACGGGGCGGAGAGTACGTGCCTGATCCCCAATTCTGCCAAGTACCCCTCAAACTGCGTGGCTGTGAACTGGGGCCCGTTGTCTGAAACTAAGGTGTCCGGTAGGCCATGGGTGGCGAACAACTGCCTTAGCTCCCTAATGGCTGCGTCGGTGGTAGTGGCTTTCATAAATCTAATCTCCAGCCACTTCGAGAAGGCGTCCATGATGACCATAAATACCTGCCCATGGAATGGGTCAGCAAAATCTATATGGATCCTGGACCAGGGCCCCTGAGGCTGCTCCCATTCCTTTACCCGTGCTGTAGGGGGGTCTGGCCTAGACTCTTGGCAGGGCTGGCACTTCCCCGCCCACTCAGTGATGTCCTTATCCATTTGGGGCCACCAAACATAGCTCCTAGCTAACCCCTTCATCCTCACGATCCTGGGGTGCCCCTCATGTAACAGATTCAAAACTTTTTCCCTTAGGCACAAGGGAACAATGACCTAATCGCCCCACAATAGACAACCCCCTTGCATTGTCAGTTTGCCTCTTTTGTTAGCGAAGTGTTTGAATTCCCCGCCCTCAGTCTTTTCCGGCCACCCCTGGTGACCCAACTCGTGACTTTCCTAAGTACGTGGTCTTTGGTTGAAGTCCTCACCACCTCTGCTGAAGTGGTGGTGTCAGGTTTCGAGGTCGTCTCAAATAAATTGCATTTCAAACAAAGTCTTTGATGAAAAACTTCCATTTATTAAGCACGACATTCTAATTCCGACTCCATTGCAGCCAACACTGACTTCCAGACCCAAAACCCTCCCTTTCCATTCTCCACTCCTCTGCACTCATTGGCCATCTTCCAAGTCACTCTACCCCTAATCTACTGCTCCAGCTCAAAGGAATTTCCCCCCTCCCATCCCATTTCCTAGGGGATATTATCTCCAGGGAAAATAAGTAGGTGAAAAGTCAAACGTCCCTTTCCAGATATCTCCGCTTCTCCTTCTTATGTCAGCATAGAGTGAATGCAGCTCTAGTGCTGACAGGTGGGTCCCGAGTCCAAGACATCAATCAGCAGGACTGGGATTCCGGGTGTGGGGTCTTTTACCCTGTCCAGTAATGGGCAAT